AAAAAATGCCGGTTGGTTCACACTTGGTATAAGTCAGAAATTAAATTCCTATAAGAATTTTATCCAGGAGTAATATACATCAATGGATTCGTTATGACTTTGACTATCTAATTATAGCAAAATTTGCACAAATTAATATAGATGAAATTAAAAAATGTCGAAAATACACGGGCAGTCGTTGCTTTTCCCGTAAGCCGCCGTGATAAGAAATGACGATTGGTTCACACTTGGTATAAGTCAGAAATTAAATCCCAATATGAATATTATCCAGGAGTAATATACATCAATGGATTCATTATGGCTTTGACTACCTTTAAATAGCAAAATTTGCAAAAATTAATGCTGATTGAATTATAAAATACCTAAAAAACACAAGCAGTTCTTGATTTCTCCATAAGCCGCCGTGTTACAAAATGCCGTTGGGTTCACAAATGGTTCACTATTTTCGGAGCACACGCGGCTCGGAAACGCCTGTTCATGGATTGGCTTCATCGCCGCTCCAGTACTTTGCGACTCTATTGTACTCTATGGTTTATTTACGGCCCTAAGAGCATCGTGTCAGCCTATTCGCTCGCGACCAATGAAAAACCGGAACAGAAATGGCCATACTCTGTCTATAAAGGTACTCTATAGAATACTGGACAAAACAGCCTCCAAAAGTGGCTTCACCGCTTCATCGGCGCTCCAGTGCATTGCGACTCTATTGTACTCTATGGTCAATACGTACGTATCTCTATTTTGCTTGTTCAATCCGGTCCCTTTTGGGTTTTCTTTTATCTAGTCTCGAATCGAATGTTCAGTGTGATATGGCAGTTTCTGAATGGTTTCTGCCCATGTTTTCCATGTCTCATACGTTATTGAATCAAAATACTCTTTTTAATTGTTCCTTGTTTTGGAGTGTTGAATGCTCTTGATGTCAGGTCATTGTTTAAAATGGCAAGGCAGGCTTTCGGGTGACTGATCATTTATTTTAAATTTAACCTTCAATAATGAGTGTTTATCGAAAAATTGTGTCTGCAATGCAATTGTAGTGATGGACAGCAAGATGGCTATCGAAGAGTGCGACCCGGATGAAGCAAAGTTCTCTGACAGCATCTCATACCAGCAGAGTGATCAGCGATCAGTTGCTGGGTTTCCAGATGAAGATGGAGAATTAGGAAGTCTCAAGAATGTACATTTTAATTTAGAGTCTAATGGATCCAATCATAACTGGCTGAGCTATGATGATACCATGAATTTTTTCCACCGGGTTGATTCCAATCAAATCATTTATCGTGCCAAGAAAAAACGGTGCAAAATGATAGGCAAATATGTCATGGGCAATATATTAGGTGAGGGTAGCTATGGGAAAGTTAAAGAAATGTTGGACTCAGAACTACTTTTCAGGAGAGCTGTTAAAATTCTCAAGAGACGCAAACTGCGAAGGATTCCGAACGGAGAACAAAATGTTCAAAGGTGGGTGTTAAGTATGGTTCGTTTCATTTTACGTAGTATATTGAAGGTGAAAGAAGGATGCCTCTTTCAGGTCATTTGACTGACGGATCTATGTCGAGATTGAAATTTATGGAAATTTCAGTTCTATTGCGCTGCTGATGGAGATTCTCTTTATTTATTGATTCCAGACCGGATGGTTCTGATCAACATAGAGGTGCAAAGTTAAACCGAAATAAGCTGGGCAGAAGAATTCTGAAATGTAAACATAGAAAGGTGATTTCATGATAACAGGAATAGCTAAAATGTGCAATACTTTCAAAATGAAAGTGCACCAATTTTAAGGTGACTCATCAAGCTCAAGTGACGTGGTCGAACTGGCATGCGACATATTGCATCGATTAAGTCAAAAATCTCGGCCGATTTTGAATTTTTTGCGAAACAAAGGACTGTAGCCCCAGCGCATGAGCCTAACGAACCATTCTAAACCCAAAAATCATCAAAATTCTGAGGAATGAAAGCAGAATAGTGTTTGGAATAAAACCTCGCATTCGATTTAGCCAGCGATTTCTGTATCAAATGCGAGGTTTTTTTCCAAACACAATTCTGCTTTCATTTCTCTGAATTTTGCTGATTTTTGGGTTTAGAATGATTCTTTTGGTTCATGCGCAGGGGCTATCGTCCTTGTTTTAGCTAAAAATTCAAAATCTGCCGAGATTTTTAACCTAATCGATGAGATATATTGCACTCCACTTCGACCACGTCATTTGAGCTTGACGAATCACCTTAAACAAATTTTATCACTTCATTTTAAAGGTATTTAACTACCTTTTTCCAGCTTTGGCAGGAACTATTTTGATTCAGTACAAAGTTGTAGGGATTGACAAACAAGCCATTGAATCACAGGTATCAGCTCCTCCCGCAGGACTGCTGGAGATCCATGCAAACATGGCCAAATTATGCTGATTAGGTAACCGACACAGAGTAATTGACACTTGAAAATGTGAAATCTAAGATGATACAAAAGATGAAACTTGCCAATTCTTAACTTTGGGGACTTCTTGTTTAGTTTAATATTATGAAATTGAGGATCTTGTGTAGTGTGTAATTATTGCTATGGACCTAAAAACACAGGTTTTTATCATAAAAATCGAAGTCTTCATCGTAGAAAAAGCTGACTTATCAGTAATTTTTTGGTCGAGAAAACTTCAGCAAACAATTTGATGACAGCTTTGAAACTCCTGGTTCTATTTGGCGAGATAAACGCACTTAATAAAACTGCAAAAGTATGTTGCTGAATGTAGTGACATTCTTTCCAATGACTTTTCTTGCTTTAAAATAAATAATTTAGTTCAAATGGCAATCGTTTTGATCATTAGAGGTTCCTTTCAGCAAATATTGCCAAAGAATCCATGATCAGACAGATTTACTACCACAAATTGCTCTTCTGCTTTAAAATCGAGGTTGGCGTCGCGAAACCGACTGTACATTTTCGGGCTTTAAAGTCTGGTATTATTAAATACAATCATAATTTATCATAGTTTTTAGCATTGATAAGTTCAGGTACATCATTCCCATTGGTTTATCAACTTGGTTCTCAATGGTTTTGCCCTGAGTCGTTGATAACCGACAACGACGCGACTATTCCTTTTATTGAGAAATCACCCAGAAACTATGAAACTCAAGTACTTTCCTTTGCGAAGCCTTTAGAAACAGATTGAAATAGGTACCTCAAAGTACCAGCCATTCCAAACAACCTTTTGTGACATCTGAGATTCTGGTGTTATCTAACCTATTCCTAAAGCTGTCCAAGATAGTAGGTATAAGTAATGCATATGCAATCCAACCCACAGAAATTCCTGGAAAGAACATGAATACTCACTGAACTTAAGAAAAAAGAGGAATCAGTGAAGCTATGAAGTAATTTGTACAAGGATACAAGATCATCATTAAGCAGATGGCAAGAAATAGGAAATAATTCGAACACCTTGCAATAGAATCATAATCATAGTCTGTGAATCCTAACGAAATATCAGTTCTCCAAGTAGCAAATCATGTAAAACTATGTCTAACTTCGCCAACCTTGGAAATATTAATAGAGGTAGATGGAAACCCACTAGGGCACGAGCATGCCTGAAAGGCACAATAGTTAACCTGCACGAAAGTCATTTACTTAGGATGACCCTCGAAGTGTACCCACGAAGTGCACTGTATAGGGGCGCCAAGCCGGCACTATCTATATCTGAATTATCGGACATATGTATTTGTGCTATAAGGAATTTTGTGCCCAAGATTTGCGCTCTACATGGTTCCTTTTGATTTTACTAATTATTACTTATGTTTATTATCAAGATTTATCACAAACAGAACACCTTTGCTTTTACCATCTTTTTTAACTAAGTCAAAGAAATGCTGAGGATCAGATTTACCATACTTTTCAGTTTCTGGAATGAATTTATCATGCAAAAAACTCAATAATAAAAATTGTGAGATCAGCGTATTTCTGGGCACTAGTTTTTGACAAGGAATTATAATCCTAAGTACATTTTTGAACCGGAGTCGGAAATGTTGTGACACTTTAAGCCAGACGCAAACATTTTCTAGACATCTGGTGTGCTCACAAACAATTTGAAAAACTAGGAAATATGATAAATGTTTGGTGGAGCTTCAAGATCAGAACTTTTAGAGGAAGATTATTGGGTTGCACTTTGCTTAAAGGAACCAAGAGCACTCAAATGTTGCCAGGATTGTGCAATTTAAATTCTTTGCATTAAAATACTGAAATCATGCAAAAAAGTAAAGAGCCTCCCAAAAATAGGGCCTTTTTTGGCCTCTTTTCGGGAATCCGGGGATTTCATTCGTTAGTGACCTAAACGAAACCTTGTGGTGAGGCAAGCCTCCGGTAAAAATTTTAGCTCGAGAATATGTCTGGTTTCCGAGGTACAGCGTTGCAAAGTTAGCATATTTAAGCATTCAAATTCTCGTCTTTTCGGGACCTTTTCCACAGCCCCCCACATTCGAATCTTAAATAAAAAATTATACCATAATTTTGTGCTATTTTGTGCCGCAAATTAAAAATTTTGTGCTGCAAAATTGAGGGGGGGGGGACGCTCCTCAAAATGGGGGAGGGGCTGTAGAAACGGTAGTCCCCCTCCTTTCGAATTTTCGAAAAAAAGGAATGCCATAATTTTGTGCTAATTTTGTGCTATTTGTGCCGCAAGAAAAAAATTTTGTGCTCCAAAATTAAGGGGGGTAGCAGCATTCCAAATTGGGGGGGGGAGGGAGGGCTGTAGAAATGCCTGCCCCCTGTTTTGATTTCTCGGAAAAGGAGTATGCCATAATTTTGTGCTATTTTTTGCCGCAGCGGAACATTAATTTTTTTCAAATTTAAGGGAGGTAATGGGCACATCAAATTTGGGGGGGCTGTAGTATTGTTAGCCCCCCTTTTTGATTTCTTTGAAATGGAGTATGCCGTAAGTGTTTGCGAATTTTGTGCTATTTTGTGCCGCAGAAAAACGCTTCATTTTTGGAAATTTAGGGGGGTAAACGGGCACATCAAATTTTGGGGGGCTGTGGAAATGTTTGCCCCCCTTTATTAATTTCTTGAAAAAAAAGTATGCCGTAATACTCTCCGCCGTAGTAAAGAAAATTTTGTGCTCCAAAATTAGGGGGGTTAAATACCATTTCAAATTGGGGGGCTGTAGAAACGGTAGCCCCCCACTCTCGAATTTCGAGGAAAAAAGCACGTCATAATTTTGTGCTATTTTGTGCCGCAAAAAGAAAATTTTGTGCTCCAAAATTAGGGGGTTTAAATACTACTTGAAATGGGAGACGGGGACTGTAAAACAAGTTAGCGCTCCGTCGGAACCCGAATCTTCCGCTCCGGAGTCGCAGGCTCGCAGGTAGCCGAAACCTTTAATAGCGCAGCGTGGTCACATCTCTCTCCGCTTTGACTTCTGCCCATGGAAACGGACGGAAAGGGCCAAGTACCGTGGCAACTGAAGAAAGATCCGGGCGGGAGATCCGGCGCTCTATGCACGGGATATTTAAACAGAGAAATTTATCCTAATCATTAAGGAGCCTTTTCGGGGGTTATATACCGTTGGGTGTCAGCGAGTTCCAAATCGAATGTTGTTCTACTGTTTTTATTTTGCACGCTACCGATTATTATTTACTGAATCGAACAGTTTTAAGAAATAAATGATTGGCTTTCATTTCAAAGCAACAACAATTTTGACCCGTATCCAGCGAAACATATCATAAAAGGACTATTTTTAAGAAATGTCTCAGAAAATGTGTTATCGTTGATTTCAAGACCTCCGAAATCTAGTTTCCATTAATTCACTGGAATTCGCCCTGTGCTCTTTTCCAATTTTTAATAACAAAATTCAGTTTTTCCACCATTTTTCTGTAGGTGCATGCCGATTTTTGGTTTTAAATAAAGTGCCCACACAATGTACATGCATATTTTTTTATAATGCCTTATTTATTTTAAAAAGCACTCAAGTCTTTCCTGCACATACCTCTGCTTGTCGACCACGGAACCAGAAGTGCTATTGCTTTTGTTCTTCATGATGGGCCATATTTAATTACCGGCCGCTGTGCATCCAATCCCCAAAGGGCCCGCTTCGCAGGCCTTTGTTGCTCAATTTAAGTATACCGGGGGCGCGCTATGATGTCTGGAAAATTGGATGAGTAAATACCATAACCTCTTAATTGGCAACACAGCAATCCTCTAGACCACTACTCGGCACGCTCGATATCGCTACTTACCGTATTGTCTTGCGCTTACCTGAATCTGACCCTCGAAATTTCAACCGACGATTTAGGCAGCTCGCCAGTACAATTTTTTTATATTTTCAAAAAAAGTTTTTTTAGTCTATATTTTCAAATTCGCGGTAAAATTTCGAGCAAATTGGTGGTCAAACCAAAGAAAATTCGTGATTCTGCGGCATAGCAAGATCAATAGGATCGCATTTAGCAAACAGGAACCTGCCAAGTGGAAGGGGAGTTAAAATATTGTT